TGGTGTGTCTGGAGTCCTACTGTGAGACTCACCTGGAGCCTCACCTGACAAGAGCAGGCCTGAAGAAACATCAGTTGATCGACCCTGAGGAGAACCTGGAAGGCAGGATGTGTGTGAAGCACGATAAACTGCTGGAGCTGTTCTGTAAGACCGACCAGGTGTGTGTCTGCATGCTCTGCACTGTTTTAGACCACAAGACACATGATGTTGTTCCTCTGAAAGAAGAATATGAAGGAAAGAAGGCTGAGCTGGGGAAAGACAGAGGCTGAAATTCAGCAGCTGATCCAGAAGAGACGACTGAAGATCCAGGAGATGAATCGCTCAGTGGAGCTCAGTAAGGAAGGAGCAGACAGAGAGATAGCAGATGGTGTTCAGGTCTTCACCGCTCTGAAGGAGTCTGTTGAGAGAAGCCAGGCCGAGCTCATCAACACCATCAAAGAGAAGCAGAGAGAGACAGAGGAACAGGCTGAAGGCTTCATCAAAGAGCTGGAACAGGAAGTCTCTGAGCTGAAGAAGAGGAGCTCTGAGGTGGAGCAGCTCTCACGCTCTGAAGACCAGCTCCACCTCCTCCAAAGCTTCACGTCCCTGAACGCTGCTCCACCCACCAAGAACTGGGCAGAAGTCAGGGTCCGTCCACCTTCATATGAGGGGACTGTGAGGAGAGCTGTGACTCAGCTGGAGGAGACGCTCAGGAAACAGATGAAGAAGCTGCTTGAGGTGGAGCTGAAGAGGGTCCAGCAGTCTGAGGTGGAGGTGACTCTTGATCCTGATACAGCACAACCCAAACTCATCCTGTCTGTTGATGGAAAACAAGTGAAAGATGGTGATGTGAGGAAGAATCTCCCAGACAATCCAGAGAGATTTGATTTGTGTGCTTGTGTCTTAGCAAAGCAGAGTTTCTCTTCAGGAAGATGTTATTACGAGGTTCAGGTTAAAGGGAAGACTGACTGGGATCTAGGAGTGGCCAGAGAGTTGATCAACAGGAAGGGAGAGATCTCACTGTCTCCTCAGAAAGGTTACTGGACGATATGGTTGAGGAATGGAAATGAGTACAAAGCTCTTGCTAGTCCTTCAGTCCGTCTCTCTCTGCAGTCTCAGCCTCAGAAGGTGGGGGTGTTTGTGGATTATGAGGAGGGTCTGGTCTCCTTTTATGATGTTGATGCTGCAGCTCTGATCTACTCCTTCACTGGCTGCTGCTTCAAAGAGAAACTCTACCCATACTTTAGTCCTTATAAGAACAATGGTGGTAAAAACTCTGCCCCTCTGATCATCTCTCCTGTCAATCACACTGAGTAGAACAACCCTTTGATTTGAAATCAGGTTCAATATCATGTAATGTTATAAATGTATGTGTTTTAGGGGATGGGCGTTGTTTACACTTTATTATCAGATTGTGATCAATGCATTTTTTTCTGTAAATATTTTCGTTGCTACTAAAACCGCAAACCGATTTGACTACATTTATTGAAACGATCTGATGAATTCTAAAAACTCTATTACCTGCCTTTGAAATCATCGAGAGCAACATATTCAAAATGAGAAGCATTTGTACTTTCCTGGCATGTCTTGATGCTAAATCTATCTTTTATTGTCTAATCATTGATTATATAGGAAATGTTGCATATTGGCTCACACAACTGAAGACCATTTTATGAATAAGTCTCAAAAATAATAATTATCTCTTTTCTTTGGAATAAATAAAGTAAAATGAATAACTGATGAAATGTGTTTGTTTGTTATTACCGTAAAAAAACAGCTGATTTTATTAAAACTGCACCAAATAATATAATTAAGAACACCATGAGCTGTTCTCAGATGAGCTGAACATACCTCTTCACAGTTGAGATAGTTTAGTACGAAGTGTGTGATAATGTTGTTTATAAGGTTTTGGGGTGTGTGTGAACAGCTGATTTGAACACTGTGATACATCATGAGGGACATCTGAGGACGCCCTTTAGAGGAGTTCAGGACTCTTTAAAGTAGAGACACTACATACTGATATACACCTGAACATCAGCAGGAGAGGACTCTTTAAAGTAGAGACAATACATACTGATATACACCTGAACATCAGCAGGAGAGGACTCTTTAAAGTAGAGACACTACATACTGATACACACCTGAACATCAGCAGGAGAGGACTCTTTAAAGTAGAGACACTACATACTGATATACACCTGAACATCAGCAGGAGAGGACTCTTTAAAGTAGAAGACACTACATACTGATATACACCTGAACATCAGCAGGAGAGGACTCTTTAAAGTAGAGACACTACATGCTGATATACACCTGAACATCAGCAGGAGAGAACTCTTTAAAGTAGAGACACTACATACTGATATACACACCTGAACATCAGCAGGAGAGGACTCTTTAAAGTAGAGACACTACATACTGATATACACCTGAACATCAGCAGGAGAGGACTCTTTAAAGTAGAGACACTACATACTGATATACACCTGAACATCAGCAGGAGAGGACTCTTTAAAGTAGAGACACTACATACTGATATACACCTGAACATCAGCAGGAGAGGACTCTTTAAAGTAGAGACACTACATACTGATATACACCTGAACATCAGCAGGAGAGGACTCTTTAAAGTAGAGACACTACATACTGATATACACCTGAACATCAGCAGGAGAGGACTCTTTAAAGTAGAGACACTACATACTGATATACACCTGAACATCAGCAGGAGAGGACTCTTTAAAGTAGAGACAACTACATACTGATATACACCTGAACATCAGCAGGAGAGGACTCTTTAAAGTAGAGACACTACATACTGATATACACCTGAACATCAGCAGGAGAGGACTCTTTAAAGTAGAGACACTACATACTGATATACACCTGAACATCAGCAGGAGAGGACTCTTTAAAGTAGAGACACTACATACTGATATACACCTGAACATCAGCAGGAGAGGACTCTTTAAAGTAGAGACACTACACTACTGATATACACCTGAACATCAGCAGGAGAGGACTCTTTAAAGTAGAGACACTACATACTGATATACACCTGAACATCAGCAGGAGAGGACTCTTTAAAGTAGAGACACTACATACTGATATACACCTGAACATCAGCAGGAGAGGACTCTTTAAAGTAGAGACACTACATACTGATATACACCTGAACATCAGCAGGAGAGGACTCTTTAAAGTAGAGACACTACATACTGATATACACCTGAACATCAGCAGGAGAGGACTCTTTAAAGTAGAGACACTACATACTGATATACACCTGAACATCAGCAGGAGAGGACTCTTTAAAGTAGAGACACTACATACTGATATACACCTGAACATCAGCAGGAGAGGACTCTTTAAAGTAGAGACACTACATACTGATATACACCTGAACATCAGCAGGAGAGGACTCTTTAAAGTAGAGACACTACATACTGATATACACCTGAACATCAGCAGGAGAGGACTCTTTAAAGTAGAGACACTACATACTGATATACACCTGAACATCAGCAGGAGAGGACTCTTTAAAGTAGAGGACACTACATACTGATATACACCTGAACATCAGCAGGAGAGGACTCTTTAAAGTAGAGACACTACATACTGATATACACCTGAACATCAGCAGGAGAGGACTCTTTAAAGTAGAGACACTACATACTGATATACACCTGAACATCAGCAGGAGAGGACTCTTTAAAGTAGAGACACTACACACTGATATACACCTGAACATCAGCATGAGAGGACTCTTTAAAGTAGAGACACTACATACTGATATACACCTGAACATCAGCAGGAGAGGACTCTTTAAAGTAGAGACACTACATACTGATATACACCCTGAACATCAGCAGGAGAGGACTCTTTAAAGTAGAGACAACTACATACTGATATACACCTGAACATCAGCAGGAGAGGACTCTTTAAAGTAGAGACACTACACACTGATATACACCTGAACATCAGCATGAGAGGACTCTTTAAAGTAGAGACACTACATACTGATATACACCTGAACTCAGCAGGAGAGGATCTTTTAAAGTAGAGACACTACACACTGATATACACCTGAACATAGCAGGAGAGGACTCTTTAAAGTAGAGACACTACATACTGATATACACCTGAACAATCAGCAGGAGAGGACTCTTTAAAGTAGAGACACTACATACTGATATACCACCTGAACATCAGCAGGAGAGAGGACTCTTTAAAGTAGAGACACTACATACTGATATACACCTCTGAACATCAGCAGGAGAGGACTCTTTAAAGTAGAGACACTACACTACTGATATACACCTGAACATCAGCAGGAGAGGACTCTTTAAAGTAGAGACACTACATACTGATATACACCTGAACATCAGCAGGAGAGGACTCTTTAAAGTAGAGACACTACATACTGATATACACCTGAACATCAGCAGGAGAGGACTCTTTAAAGTAGAGACACTACATACTGATATACACCTGAACATCAGCAGGAGAGGACTCTTTAAAGTAGAGACACTACATACTGATATACACCTGAACATCAGCAGGAGAGGACTCTTTAAAGTAGAGACACTACATACTGATATACACCTGAACATCAGCAGGAGAGGACTCTTTAAAGTAGAGACACTACATACTGATATACACCTGAACATCAGCAGGAGAGGACTCTTTAAAGTAGAGACACTACATACTGATATACACCTGAACATCAGCAGGAGAGGACTCTTTAAAGTAGAGATCACTACATACTGATATACACCTGAACATCAGCAGGAGAGGGACTCTTTAAAGTAGAGACACTACATACTGATATACACCTGAACATCAGCAGGAGAGGACTCTTTAAAGTAGAGACACTACATACTGATATACACCTGAACATCAGCAGGAGAGGACTCTTTAAAGTAGAGACACTACATACTGATATACACCTGAACATGAATAACATGTCCTTACTTACCAGCAGCAGTGGGTTTGTGGAAGAAGCTAAATTAGCAGCAGGGTAGCAGTTGTATCATATTATTTATTGTGTGATGTTACAACAAAGGAGGTTCATGTTGAATTATATTGGGGTTAACATGAAATAAGACCTTTTTGAACATGAAAGCCTCTACTGTGACACACGTCAAAGGAAAGACACTTAATATGTCCTTACTAAGCAACACACCTATCAGACCCCAGACTCTGAGAGCTCAGGTTCCAGCAGCAGTGGCTTTGTGGAAGAAGCTGTGGATTTGCTGAGCTGTAGCCTGACCCACGATGGGCTCCAGCTCGTGGGGGGCGGCGTTGCAGAGCTGGTGGACGCTGGAGAACTCCTGCAGCAGCGCCAGAGCTTTGACCCCGCCGACCCCGGGGACTCGCTGCACCAGAACCAGGACCTTTGGGTCCAGCAGCCGAGAGGAACTCCTCCTCCTGAAGGGGTTCTCTCGACCCTCCCCGTGGACCTGGAGACCGTCAGAGCAGGTTGGAAAACACTGAATGTCCTCTTCCAACATGAGAGTAACATGATAACAAAGGTATCCCAACTGTAGCTGTGAACATGACAGGATGTGTGATTACCTAGAAGAGCATCAGGACTGTTTGAGGCAGATGATAGCTATGTGATTAACATGAGGATTCAGCCTCTATGGAGACAGACATCAAGCATGCTCATTTCTGACGTGGAGCTAATCTGAAGTAAACATTGAATACTGCTTTCTATTCCTCCATCTTGTGACTGTGTAACTCCCTCTCTTGGATATCAGCATGTGAAGGACACTGTTCAGGAACTAGTTGATGCTCTGTATGTGATGACTCCTTCCATTCTGGAGAGGATCACAGATACATGGATCCTGAGGTTGAAGCTCAAGCCGGGGACCAGTGAGATTTCTCTAACAGAGCTTTATGCTGTTTACACCACGATCTGAGTGTGACTCTTTAATACTAAAACAGACTTCCAGATGCAGGGTCGATACGGCTAACATTAAAATGTGGCTGTCATGTGTAAATGTGTGTTAGACTGTAAGTGTGTGTGGACCCCAGGTAGGATAGCTAGTGCTGATTGGGATCCTATGAAAAGATAAAAGGTAACTGACTCACGATCTGACTGATGAGCTGCGAGGCCTCGGTCTGCCCGCTGACCGGCAGCAGAGTCAAACCCAGGTCCAACACAACAAACTTCTGCACGGCGGAGAAGTTCTGCTCACTGAGGCGCGTCTTCTCCACCAGCACCAGCTCCTGGAAACTGCTGCTGGTCTGTACAACAGGAGGGACACATATCACTGTAGTGTAGATCAAGAGTCAGCCCTTAAAGTTCAGGTACAATATATTGATTCATTTCCTCCTCCTCCTCCATCATCATCATCATCATCATCATCATCATCATATCAGGCAGAACAACACGGAGAAAACACTGCTTTGTGTCCTCGTTAAACTCACGTTTCTGTAGCGGACCAGTTTCCTCTTGTAGCTGTTTCCTGCTATGATGTCGCACTCTGACACGTACAGGATGCAGCTTTTGTTGGGCAGGTGGAAATCTGCGACACCGAGCTCATTCTCAAACAGGATGTTCACTCCTCCACCTGCAGCAGAAGAAGAGCTTGTGTATTAGAGCTGCAGCCACAGAACAATTATCTCAAACTTAACCGTTAGGAGTGGTTTTTCATACACAATGGTAGAAAATGCCGTTTTCAGTCCATCAAATATGGAGATGACCTTTTAGTTAGTGGTAGTGGTGGAATGTAACAACGTACATTTACTCAAGTACTGCTTTTCAGTAGAAATGTAGGTACTTGTAATTTCCACATACTTTATTCTTTTACTTCACAAAATGTTTTGGGCAAATGTTGTTCTTTTTACTGTTTTCATTTATTTAAGACTTACGTTAATAGCTACTTTGCAGATTTAGGTTATAAATACAATTTTAATTCCACAAAATAATGATGGTGTATTGTTATAGGTTACCCAGCAGTAAATAAAATAATAACAATAAACCCTATCTTTACCAGATGCAACATTAAAGTGAAGAACACATGATGCATCAATAAATACAGTAAAATACAATCCTTTAATACAAAGATGAGCCACACATAATGGGTACTTTTAGTACTTAAAGTATATTTTAGTACCCCTGTACTTGAGAGCAAATTGAATTGAAGGACTTAAACTATTTCTACTTTTACTTCAGTAACTATCTGAGTACTTCTTCCACCACCGCCAAGTAGCAAGTAAAGTTAAAGGCTCAGTCAGGAGGGGCTTGGACTGGGAGCTGTAGGGTCGCCGGTTCAAGTCCCTGAACAGACTTAGAGTATGGACTGCTACTTTGAGAGGTCCCAGTTCAGCTCCTGCCCTGTCGTGGTGCCTTGAGCAAGGCACCAGACAACCCCCCACTCCCATTGCTCCCCGGGCGCTGTACAATAGCTGCCCAGTGCTCCTGGTACTAGGATGGGTTAAAAGCAGAGAACACATGTCACTGTGTGTGCTGTGTGCTCTGCATGTGTGACCATTAAAGAGGGTTTCATCCCTCCCAATATATATATTAAAACAAATAATTAAATCTTTAATTTGCATAATGACAAACATCTAATTAAACGAAATGACTTTAAGGAGGCCAAACACATTAAAAATGACTCTAATCACCAATAAATTATAACATAGTTTCTTTTAACTAGACGTATTGAACATAATTGAATTCGGCATTAACACCAATAACAAGCATCGCTTTCTTCCCATGTAACATTTATATTTAGATTGATTGTTATGGTTACATTTTGTGCACGTTTTAAATTGAGGACATGTGAGCGGAATAGATGAGTGGAAGTATTTGACAGATAGAATGTGAATTATCATTTTCTACACCTTGTTTTTGTCTGCATTTTATTGAAATGTACATGAAAACAGCGAACGGGGTTTGGCACACGTAACGCCCCAGACGTTAGCGTGATAACACGGTTGGAATTGGGCCGTTAATGTAACGGTAAGTAAACTCATGTATTTACCCTTTAAGCTTTGAATAAGGGACGAATTCCTCCATTTCTCGCTGGTTATAACATGTCCGTAAGGAGGGACCGCATTCAGCAGAGAAGGCGCTTTGCTCTCCATTAAATCACAACTGTTAATACAATATAATATATATATAGAGAGAGAGTATTGAAACTGTATCCATGGAGACGAGTTAGCTGACCGACATGTCTGTTTTGTTGCCTCCAAAACATCAAAATGTCTTCTTCGTCTGCAGTTCAGTCAGTAGTGCGGCAGACGGCTCATCATCGCCCCCTGCAGGACAACTCAGATATCTTTTTGATAATTCTGACTATTCACAATTTATTTTTTAAAGAAAATTCAGACTTTTCTTATTTATTTATTTTATTCTGACTTGTCTGATTATTATTTTTAATTTTAACTTTTCTGAATTTTGGGGAGATTCAGATTTTTTTCATAATCCTGACTTTTTTTGGATAATTTTAATTATTTTATTTGAAATGATATATACATGAGAAATCTGACAATTGTTTATCTTAATTCATAATGTTGAGTTTGTGGGTATACGTGTTTAACATTTGAACATTTGAATTTCGAATAAATAAATACATATTTAATATTCACCTATTCTATACCGCTAGAAAAATGAATTCATGCTGGGTTATGCTTATTTTTAGGCACATTCTCAACTGGGTAAAATATTAACAAATAGCCCAGGCAAATAATAAGAATAAGGGTTTCTAATCTGCTTAAATACTTTGTTTATTCAGAGGTTACAAAACCGTCAAATTGTAATATGAAATGTTTTAGGAAGAATAATATGTTTAAGTGAGAAATTAATTTAACTTCTGTTAGACAGCTATCATACTGAATACATATTTACTGTGAATGTATGCAACAATGTATGACATATAGCTGACTAACAGAAGTTAAATCAATTTCTGACTTATTCTGACAATGTACGTAACCCCAAATAAAAGAACCCAATAAAAAGAGTTGTTAAATAATAGTGAAGTCACGTTGTGATAACAATAAGTAAGTCATCTCTCTCGAGTTTTCATTTTGTGTTTTGCCAAAAGCCACTGTGTCAAGTGTCCTACTTGAGTTGCCGTATGTAGTTGTCAAATATGGCGGACATCTCGCACATGCGCACTGCAGATAGGGCAGGGAGGCATATCGGGCATTGACAACCACACCTGTAGAAGCTCTGAAACAGGTACGTTTTACTGGTTGAATAAGATGGAACTCAAACGAAATTGAAACATGTAAAACAAAACCTGTTTAAATCAACACTTGTCGAATTTGCCTTCAATTCGGAGCACTTTTTTAAAATTGTTTTAGTTATCGGTGAACTAATGCTAGCTCAAGTTAGCTCACGTTAGCTAAAGTAAGCACGTGTTAGCCGACATGTGCTTCTCGCTCTTGGGGGCAAAATGTCGACCTTAGCTATTCATTCTTATTTTGATGTTTAGTAAACACGTTGCCAGCTTAGTGAACCCGGACATGTCGAGTACCCCAAAAGTTTAATGATAGAAATGTGTAGTAGGGTCCCCAGCACATAGAAACTGCCGGATGCTAACCGGCATGTTGGGCAATTAGCACAATTAGCATAAGTTGCATGAATTAGCATATATCCCAAAATAGTCAAACATAATAATAACTTGGCCGATTTGGACATTTTAGGAGTGGTTTTGGGGTTATTGAGGATGCTGAATCCATTTTCAGGAACCAGAAGGTCAGTTTTAAGTAAAGTGGCGATATTTGTAATCTCTGTGGGCTGATTTTGACTACCATGAATAGTGTTGCAACCATTGGAAATGGAGAGAACAAGATGAAAAGTATTACCGCTACTGTGGACACATTTTCAAATAAGGATAAGATAAGTTGTACTTTAATGATCCCAAATTGGGACGTTTTTTGCGTTGAAGCAGCATAACAAATGAGCAAATAGGCAATCTGACCAATCCAAATTATCCAGAGTCCCCTAAATCTGCCAAATAGACCCAACATTTATCAAAATCAGCCCATGGAGAGTGCAAATTGGTCGCTTTCTGACTGGAATCTAAAACAAATTGAGGGAGGGATCACTATAGAGGAGATTTTGCAAGCTAGTGGACATTCATTTGAATAGAGGCCAAGTCCAGCCCATCTACTTCCGCCCCATGGGACCTTATTTCTGAGAAATTATGCATTGAAGTCAATGGAGAGAGAAAGATTATCTTTCGATCCCGAATTGTGCCACGAATTACACATCTGATGTTTGTCAATCTTAAAAAATCATTTCCATGTCAAAAAGTCACAGTTTGTCGTAAAACTGTTGAAATATAAGACGATGAAAAATACGCAACTAGAAAGACTACAACTTCCAGAGTCACGTAAGTGTAATACTTTCCGCCTCGTTCTGAAAGAAAGAAGTGAAGTGTTCCAACGTGACGGCCGTCTTGGTGTGTTGTGCGAGACGGGAGATGTAGTTCATTGAGCGTTTCACACACAAAAAAGTGTTGATTCACAGTTTTACGACACATTTCTTTTTTTTTGACTTGTAAAATTATCTTTTAAATTGACAAACATCATATGTGTAATTCTTTTTTTTTACATACTTTTCTGAAATAAGGTCCCATGGAGCTCCCCCGAGGGACTTCGCCTCTCTATAATGCTGAATCATCATGTTAACCACATAGCTATCATCTGCCTCAAACAGTCCTGATGCTCTTCTAGGTGATCACACATCCTGTCATGTTCACAGCTACAGTTGGGATACCTTTGTTATCACGTTACTCTCATACTGGAAGAGGACATTCAGTGTTTTCCCAACAGAAAACAACCATATTTACGTCTCCTATATTTCTCCTTGTCCTCAGTTTGTTCCCAGTGATCCCAGGAGGAGTCGGATCCTGGTGCACTCCTTCCTCCCAGTGGAGCCCTGCAGCAGCCTGGACGACGCCCCCATCACAGACTCTCTCCGCTGGGTAAAATATAACGTGCTCTTACTTTAGTTTTCAGGCTGTTTGTACTTACATATAACACAGATAGTCCAAATGCTAGAAAAAGCACGAAAAATGTAATTTGATAATTGGGGAGAGGGGCTTAGGGTCCTGCGTTGGTCTCAAATCAATGTAATCACTGATACACGGCGCTAGGGCTGCACGGTATTGAAAAAAACTGAAATCGCGTTTTTTTTCCCCCCCTGCTGTATATATCGCGTTTTTTTTAACCTGTTAAACCCCAAAGTCCCGGCGGGTACTTTACTTTTTTTTTTTCACGACAGTGTCTCAGGGGATCGTAATATTTAAGAACCTATTAATGTGTTATACCAGATTAACGGAAATAATCTCAGCTAACTGACGATACAAACCATTTTATACCAAAACAAAACACAAGTCTCATAAGAAGCATCTAAATGACCCCTGAGCGAAAAATGCTAACACACTTTGGCACAGAACTCAAGATAAAAGTACCCTTATTACTTATCGTAGCTGCACATACAAGATATCCGATTAAAGCTGAGGTTCCACAGATTATTTAGGTATATAGTATCATCACTGAGTGATCTGAACTCGGACAGGGGAAGCAAACACAGACATCACAACATGTACCTTTACGTAGCTTCGAGGGGAGATGTCTCACCGTAGCTGTCAATCTGATCAAAAGACGTGTTCAATGGCATTAAACGAGAAAGAAAAAACGCGGCTGAATCGGTTAATCCATAGGTTTTTAACGTTTCTGTATAAAAAAATTATTTAATCCATAATTCCATTTTTATGTAAATATCGCAGAGCAAAAGTTAGCTGCTAATGGTAGCCACCATAGTGGCTGCTGCATCCGGTCTTGGTTATGCGGAAGTCTCTCACACACACATGACCAAATAAGGACTGTGTGATTTCCCCTCGATTCCATTGGCTCTGACGGTCAGAAAGAGATGTCACATGTCAAAATCCAGCAAGGTGGGCCAGAGATATGGAAAATCCACCCAAATGGCCCCAAAAGAGGTTTTTTTTGGTGCTAAATCTGTCTGAAAAGGTCAAATATCAGGGGAAGTTCTACACACACCAACACATGAACAAATAAGGAGTGAGAGTGACGACGCGTAGCCAAAACCAGAAGCTGCATACCACCAAGGTGGCTACCATTAGCAGCTAACTTTTGTGATCAAGATTTTTACATAAAAATGGAATTATGGATTATAAACAATTGCTTCAAAGCCACAGATACATTATCAACCTATGGATCAGCCGATTCAGCCGCGTTTTTTCTTTCTCGTTTTAATGAAAAACTAACACGTCTTTTGATCAGATTGACAGCTACGGTGAGACGATCTCCCGTAAAAGCTCCGTAAAAGGTACGTGTTGTGATACTTAAATAATCTGTGGAGTCTCAGCTTTAATCGGATATATTGTATGTGCAGTTTCGATAAGTAATAAGGGTATCTTTATTTTGAATTCTGTGCTAAAGTGCGTTAGCATTTAAAAAAAAAAAAGAATAAAACCGCACGTCCCTGCGGTGTGAATACCGCGTATGCGCATACCGCGGTTATCGCCATGACACGGTATATCGTTCAGCCCTACACGGCGCCATTCAACACATATGGGCTTTAAAGGTGTCCTGTCATGCAAAATGCACTTTTGTACCACAAGGTGGTACCCACATCTCTAAAAACGGGGAACAACGGAGCTGATCCAGGTTTGCGTCCGATATGACGTAATATCTGAAATGTGGACCCACGGCCCAATCAGAGACGTTGCTATCAGAAACAATGCCCGACTGTTTTGGACGTAATATGGTCGGTGTTTACATTAGCATCGCTAACACTCAGAGCTAACCTGTGCTGGAGAGCATGTGTGTGAAGAAGCAGGAAATAAAAAGGAACTCACCTTGTGGTATAACCGGAAAGAGAAAAAGAGTTTGAGCTCCATACTGTTTCAGAGACAATCCTTGATGTGGTTTGGAACATGATATGGAGTTTAATCACGGCAGCATTTAGCTGAGACTCTGGGGAGAATTCTCTTGCATTCATTATGTTTTTAAAGCTATGGACCCAGAATCAGCTCTTTTGAAACAGGGCTGAAACAGAGGGGATTATGGGTAATGCTGCAATGATCTGTTTGGTGTTTCAGCCAATCAGAGACAGGCTCTGGATATATCTGAGACCTGTGATATGTTGATGAAGAACAGTGTAATCGGGGACCTTTAAGAAAAGATGGAACTTTATTTATCTCCTCGGGGAAATCCAGGCGTTTATAGCAGCAACAGGGTCAGAGTTAAAAACAGGATTCACACAAGGTAAACAAAGAGACAATAGAATATAAATTAAAATAATAATACAACAAAAATAAAGTGATAAGTAACTATTGAAAAGAGATATCACAGTGAAAAGTTGAGCATTTGAATGAACATGAATATATTTACATAAGTGTGCAGGTGTGAGTGCAAAGTCTTTACAATTCTTTACTCAAGGGTTATTTTTGATTGAACAGAACACCAATAATGAAACGCATGATGACTGCAGTTTCAAAAAGCAGGAATAATCCTCAAATTCCATCTGAACTCTGAATGAGCTGATTGTAATCTGCTGTAAAACACTAACAATAATGCAGGAATGTGAGTCTGTTTCAAAGGCATTTTTCTTTTAGTTCGGTTGGGTGATATAAACAGAACTAGGGATGTCCCGATCACCTTTTTTTGCTTCCGATCATTTGATTTTGACAATTTCCGATCTTTATGCAATGCATTAAGAGAAAGAGAAAGAAAAGGTAACAGATAACGGCTGGTCATCCAACGCGATGAACTCAGCTCTCTTGGCTGTTATTTTTGTGGCCTTTTCACTGCTCTGGGGCAGTTTCTCTTTCCTTTTAAAAGTCTCTGAAAGGTTGTTTCAGTGCCGTTACCTGAGTGGCCGCTGTGTACTCGTCGTGTTGTTGTTGGTGTTTGTTTCTCAGGTGGAGTATTAGATTGGTCGTGTTGAACGTAGCTCTGTTCTTTCTACCACGCGGAACCTCCGTCTTGAAAACATTGCATCTGGCTGTTACACTGCCTTCGCTTTCAATTTTATAATACTTCCCAACTCCTGACATTTTCTCCATCCCGACTCCCGAGTCACCAGCTGAACGTAGCCTCTCGTTAGCTGCTACTATTAGACACTGCGCCCACTCTGTTGCTTTGAGAGAAATAAGCAACCAGGTCTGAAGACAAGCCCAAAAGAACAGCAACACATGATGTTGTGTAATTTTAAACCAAAACTAAGGTCTCAGGATGACTTTAAGACGTGAACATGGTCATTTTTGTTTTGTAACATTACATTTAAAAAATCCAGAGCCCCGATTTTTTTCCCTCCCGATTCCGATCTTTTGAAAATCACGTGATCGGATCGGGACATCTCTAAACAGAACAGAATAAAACTGAAAACATCGTAAATATTCTCTATATTAATAAGTCATTGGTTCTTCTTTCAGACCAGAACAGACTGATAACTCAACAGGAACTGTCAAAACATCCCAATGGAAATTTAAAGGGTTAAAGGCTCCATGTCATGGCCATTTCTACTGATCATAATTCCATTGTTGAAGTCTACTAGAATAGATTTACATTGTTCAATGTTCCAAACTCACATTGGTTTCTCATCCAGCATCTCTGTATAGTATGTGTATTCACTCTGTGCGCCCACTGTGCTCTGATTGGTCAGCTCGCCCACTCTGTTCTGATTGGTCCACCACCGTTATAGCTGAACATCAGTGAGTATGTTTTACAATGGCGTTTGTTAGCAACCAGGAAATGACACCAGTAAGGACAAACGGATGAGAATGCTGCGTGGGGTCTGGGTGCCGTGTTGGCGGGACGTTGCGGGGCTCGCTGCTCCGCCCTTTGAGACTCGAGGAGCGGACAGTGTGAGCTGGGTTACTGGTGTCGTTTCCTGGTTGCTGCGTGGGGTCTGCGAGACAGCGAGACACCGCGGAACTCAGCCTGAACTGTGAGTGGAGATCCACGGAGCCGCGGCTGAGAAAAGATAAGGCTGAGTGTGTGTGTGAGAGGAGCTCCACGAATTGGTCCATTTGGACCTGGGCATGGTTACGACACTATACTCAGGAAGAAAACAATGGAAAAAGAGAAATCTCCAACGAGGCGTTCTGGGGCAGCACAGACAGGTCTTCTCTGTGTTAGAGTTTTACTCGCTTCAGGGTCTACTTTGAGGGTTTGTGACTCTGCAGACCGTTTACATGCAGAAAAACCATCATAACAACAAGTGGACGGGTCAGAACCAGAAAAGCATGACATGGGACCTTTCAAAGTCACAACATTTGTTGTCAAACTGAGTTTATGCATGCAGACAGATTTTTCTCATGTGAATTGTCGTGGGACTAACTAATTGTCCTCTTTTTTTTGTTGCACATGCAGATTTGACTTGGAAAATGTCAGGTTCAGAAGAGTCTCCAGTCCCAGGTTCAGAAGAGTCTCCAAGTCCCATGTTCAGAAGAGTCTCCAGTCCCAGGTTCAGAAGAGTCTCCAGTCCCAGGTTCAGAAGGTCTCCAGTCCCAGGTTCAGAGAGGTCTCCAGTCCCAGGTTCAGAAGAGTCTCCAAGTCCCAGGGTTCAGAAGAGTCTCCAGTCCCAGGTTCAGAAGAGTCTCCAGTCCCCAGGTCAGAAGAGTCTCCAGTCCCAGGTTCAGAAGAGTCTCCAGTCCCAGGTCAGAAGAGTCTCCAGTCCCAGGTTCAGAAGAGTCTCCAGTCCCAGGTTCAAAGGAGAGAGGAGTCTCCAGTCCCAGGTTCAGAAGAGTCTCCAGTCCCAGGTTCAGAAGAGTCTCCAGTCCCAGGTTCAGAAGAGTCTCCAGTCCCAGGTTCAGAAGAGTCTTCCAGTCCCAGGGTTCAGAAGAGTCTCCAGTCCCAGGTTCAGAAGAGTCTCCAGGTCCCAGGTGCAGAAGAGTCTCCAGTCCCAGGTTCAGAAGAGTCTCCAGTCCCAGGTTCAGAAGAGTCTCCAGTCCCAGGTTCAGAAGAGTCTCCAGTCCCAGGTTCAGAAGAGGTCCTCACAGGTCCCAGGGTTCAGAAGAGTCTCCAGTCCAGGTTCAGAAGAGTCTCCAGTCCCAGGTTCAGAAGAGTCTCCAGTCCCAGGTTCGAGAGAGTCTCCAGTCCCAGGTTCAGAAGAGTCTCCCGTCCCAGGTTCAGAAAGAGCTCCAGTCCCGGTTCAGAAGAGTCTCCAGTCCCAGGTTCAGAAGAGTCTCCAGTCCCAGGTTCAGAAGAGTCTCCAGTCCCAGGTTCAGAAGAGTCTCCAGTCCCAGGTTTCAGAAGAGTCTCCAGTCCCAGGTTCAGAAGAGTCTCCAGTCCCAGGTTCAGAAGAGTCTCCAGTCCCAGGTTCAGAAGAGTCTCCAGTCCCAGGTTCAGAAGAGTCTCCAGTCCAGGTTCAGAAGAGTCTCCAGTCCCAGGTTCAGAAGAGTCTCCAGTCCCAGGTTCAGAAGAGTCTCCAGGTCAGAAGAGTCTCCAGTCCCAGGTTCCAGAAGCGTCTCCAGTCCCAGCTTTTTCTCGGAAGAGTCTTCCAGTCCCCAGGTTCATGAAGAGTTCCAGTCCCAGGTTCAGAAGAGTTCCCGTCCCAGGTTCAGAAGAGTCTCCACGTCCCAGGTTCAGAAGAGTCTCCAGGTCCCCAGGTTCAGACGAGTCTCCAGTCCCAGGTTTCAGAAGAGGTCTTCCAGTCCCAGGTTCAGAAGATTCTCAGTCCCAGGTTCAGAAGCAGTCTCCAGTCCCGAGTTCCGAGGTCTCCGTCCCAGGTTCAGAAGAGTCTCCAGTCCAGGTTCAGAAGAGTCTCCAGTCCCAGGTTCGAAGAGTCTCCAGTCCCAGGTTCAGAAGAGTCTCCAGTCCAGGTTCAGAAGAGTCTCAGTCCCAGGTTCAGAAGAGTCTCCAGTCCCAGGTTCAGAAGAGTCTCCAGGTCCCAGGTTCAGAAGAGTCTCCAGTCCCAGGTTCAGAAGACTCTCCAGGGTCAGGTTCAGAAGAGTCTCCAGGGTCAGGTTCAGAAGAGTCTCCAGTCCCAGGTTCAGAAGAGTCTCCAGTCCCAGGTTCAGAAGAGTCTCCAGTCCCAGGTTCAGAAGAGTCTCCAGTCCCAGGTTCAGAAGAGTCTCCAGTCCCAGGTCAGAAGAGTCTCCAGGGTTGTGCTCAGTCTCAGGTTATAAATGTCATCTGTGGGAAACCGTAGCACTGTAAAAAGCACGACCAATCATTTCAATCAATAGGATACGGCTGTAATAGGCCTAAGGCCTTTTAGTCGCTCATAAATAAGTAGATCACTGTTCTTTATATACTATGGATGCTGGCAACAGTCACATAGTCCAAATGTGGCCCGGCTAAAGTAACTGGATGGCCTGTCAGCCTTCCATCTATGCACAAACTTATCTCGTGCCCTCATTGGTCATGTGTGCGTTTGTGTGTGTTGGAGGAGGGGCTCTGTAAGGAAGTGGCAGATTTTTTTCCGGCTGTGTATTTTCAAATTCTAGCGCACTGGAGCTGGTTTCTCCAAAATTACCTACCCCACCTTTAAGGCGAGACACGGCAGGCAAAAACATAGTTTTTCATGCACTGGTCAATTTTGAGATTTTGTGCTATTTTGATTCCATAACATGTTTTCTTTCAGGCTTTTGGAAGGAAAACGTACAAAATACACATTTAGATGTTTATTTTACTATAGTTTGTCTATTTGCGTCTGTAGATTTCTCCTAAATTCAGCAAAAGTTAGAATTCTAACGTAACATAAAGTACCGCGACCGCTGTGTGCAGCATGTCAACAGAGATATCGCTGGAAAGCTCCGTCTCTCCTGCACAATCTCATCGGATCCAAATATGGTCATTTCCTTTGTATCAGCAACCAATCGTGAAAGCACAAAGGGGTCTTAAACCAAAAAACTAAATCTCATTGGCTGGTGTCAATTTCTGACAACGTGATTCGTTCAGATGCGTCACATGATGTGCTAAAACACTTCCTGGTTTAGTTTCCGCTGGAAATTTAAATCTCAAAATGGCAAAAGAACAGCAGAAAAAAAATTCACAGAGAAGACGACAACAATTGTTACTTGCACGAAGCAAGTTTATACAAAAAACAAATGACCCCGAACATGAAATACCTTCACGGAGTGCGTTGATGCGCAAGCTGTCATCCAAAAAACAGGAGGGTTTAGCTAGCGCCTCACTGCAATCTTTAAAGGTTGTTTTCTCAAAATGAGTTTTTACTCATATTCTGAGTGAGAAATGTCCACTTCAGTTGCACTTACATACACCAAACCTTCCAGTTTTAATTATATCAATATTATGAAGGCTTTTACAGAACGGTTTGTTTATATATCATTCATAGCCTGAATTATATAACATGTTATACCTAAAAACATGGCGAAAATTGATATTTTAGGGCTGTTGACAGTATTTTCTGATTTATGGAGTGATACAAAGAGATATCCAAAATCCCTTCTGTTAGAACTTTAGATTCTAATATGACTACAAAATGAAATAAGAATTTTGAACCTGGCTTTATCCAAAGTTCCGATTTGTGTTCCGGAAATGTATTAAAATATGCGCATATTTAATGAGATGATGGCTCATTTGCATATTTAAACATGCTATTTCAGAAAACTTGTAATACAAAAAACAATTGTCTTAATGCAAGTAATTCACTGGAGAAATCTCTAGCTGATATCTTTAAGTAAAACAAATTACCCTATTCACCTGTAGTGTCTCGCCTTAAATGTCCTCCGTGTTTAAAATATTTCTCACAGACTGAGCAGCTGAATGGTTTCTCTCTACGTCTTGAATCACTGACCGGGTCTTGCTTATTTCTCTGAGAGTTTGAACCTGGTTCTCTGGTCTCCTTCCAATCAGCCCTGTCTTCAGTCCCAGGTTCAGAAGAGTCTTCAGGGTTGTCCTCAGTCTCAGGTTGTAATTGTCTCTCTGGATCTGAGCTCCTGGCTGGTTCTGGTCCTCCACAGTCCTCTCCATCAGCTTCTGTGTTCAGTTTGTCTTTGATGAGGCTGAGAGGACTGAGGTTTCTCTTCATCATCTTCACTCTTCACAGGGACAGGAGTGAAAGTGGACTTGGTGACATCAGCCTCCTCCAACCCTTGAAGCTGCTCTCCCTCCTGACTGCTCCTGAGTTCCTCCTGTTCCTGCTTAATGTGTGGGGGGGGGGGGCTCTGCGTCCCCCTGGTCCAGACTGGCGCTCCACTCCTGTGCTCAGGGGGAACCTTTTCTTTAACCACCACCAGCTGCTGGACGTCTGCAGGTAACAGGAAACACATATTCAGAGAAACTGTAGAGTATTAGAATTTTAAATCTAACCACGATTAACACTTAACTTTGCAGCCTTTTTCCATTCCTTAAATGCTTGCCTATCATTTTGCTAAGTCCCGCCCCCTTTGTTTTTCTGTTGGCTCAATAGACTGTCAATCACACCCTTTTTCCAGATGCCCTGGAGAGTTTCAGGACAACATGTGAGTTAGTACTGTAGCTGATCTAAAACATAGTTTCACTGCCGCTTAGCAAGACGTCGCCATTCACGGAGTGTGAGGCCTTAGCCTTATAGTTTGTGACCTGTCCGCAGAGTCGTTAGCTGAGAACTGGTGTTTCTCAGAGTAGTCGTTTAGCATCTCTCACCGCCTTGCTAAACCTGTACTTGAACTCATACAGGTGCATCTCAATACATTGAATATCATGGAAAAGTGCAACAGAAAGTCTGCAGACGATAAAGTGGATATGAAGGAGAGTGAGGACGGGATGGGAGAGGAGGCTCTGAGAGGTTCCTGTGTGACGGCGAGGGGACGAGCCAGAGGAAGAAAGACGATGGGGAGGAAAACGCAAGATGCAAGGGGGCAGGTCCAGACACGGGGGAAGGAATGGAGAATTGAATTTCTCTCTTCCTCTTCGTAATCAACATCTTTTGCTTCATTTAATGGACATGGGCTTAAGAAGAAGGACAGAAGGGAGCAAGCTATTCTTTTGTGTGCCACGGACATTATCTATTTTCAGGAGACACATTGGGATGAAAGGTGTGTAGAGGATGTTAAGAAGGGGTGGATGGGTGATGTGTTTGTAAATAACGGGGGTGTGAATGCTGGGGGGGGTGGAATGATCGGTGTGGTGTTTGAGTATATGGAGGATGTGTCTAAGCTAATCATGTGGGGGGAAAGGTGGGGGTTAGAAATAAGAGAGGGAGAAAAGAGTTGGATAAAGAGGCAGAGAAGGTTGAGGTAGAGACGGGGAGAGATATAGGAGAATATAATAGGTTGAGGGATGAGTTGGGTGAGAGAGAGAGGACGAGGTGTGTGGGAGCAATAGTTAGGAGTAGGGCTAGATATTTAGTGGAGGAGGAGAAATGTACGGGTTCCTTTTTGGGGTTGGAAAAAAAGAAGCATGGTGCCTCTACTTCTGGAGCTATACAAACGTTTAGAAGAGAGGGCTGAATTGCAGGCTATCAACGGGGGTGATCAGTATTTTGTTTAAAAAGGGTAGAATTATAGGCCACTGAGTATGTTAAATAGTGATTACAAAATGTTAGCAAGGGCGTTAGCAAATAGGATCAAGAGGGTGATAGGTACAGTGGTGGGGAGCGTGCAGGCATATAGCATACCGGGCAGGGATATTAGTGACACAATTAGTAGTATAAG